CATATAAAATCTTGAAACATGATTTATCGAATTTAGATGGCAGGGAAATTACGGTATTGAACTCATGGATCTTGAATGCGTAAAAGTAGTCACAACGGAAGCTGATTATTGATTGTAGTTGACGTTGTTTGGGATCGGTCATTTGTGCGTCGCGGATGTGGTCGGGGCATCAGCGTTGACCTTGTCGTCGAGGCGCTCGTCGCCCTCCTTCGCGCGCTTCTCCGCTTCAGATGACTGTAAAGATATGTTTGAAGGATTTGGCAGACAACGGAGGTCAGGATTCGCCAAGGGGGATATCTGCTCGTCCTGGGACGATTTCCGACCTTCGAGATCTTCCTCCGCGCCGCTTCATCCGCCGACTCTTCCTTCAGCGAGCCCGGTCGATGGGCACGCTCGTGGCGTGCGAGCTCGCGCTGCGCCGACTGGATTGGCGCTGAGCTGCGTCGGCTGAAGTTGAAGGTATAAGTTTAACCGCGCTTCTGCGTCCCTCCGGCTGCTTGAGGGTGATTGTCATCGCCGTGTGAAACGCTGTGAGGTGGTGGGACCGCCATCGCGTCAGCTCTGTTAGCCCCTGAAAGGAGGGCGCTGGAGACTAGACCGGTTTTTTGAGGTATCAATCTCTGATATCTACCTCGGGGCTAAGCCAGTATGCAATCCGCTGGGTGACAGGCATCATTAGCTCCATAATCGCGAGCTCATCCAGCTGAAAAGTGGATGGAACCCATTCATTCGCGAAAACTCACGTTTTCCCACTGGGTGGCCATCGCCGTGGAAAGGTGAGGCCGAAAGGAAACGGGGTGAATTGCAGGAAAGAATGTGGAAGCGGTAGGTAATACGCCAGGGGAAGAATTCCGGAATCGGACAATTATGCAAATTTAGATGCGAACAGTCTCTCTCTCTCACTCTCTCTCTCTCTCTCTCTCACTCTCTCTAGCTCTCTCTCTCTCTCTCCCTCTCTCACCTTGTCTCTCTCCCTTCTCTTGTTCGCTCGGTCTCTCTTTATCTTTCGCTGTCTCTCGCTCTCTCTCTCTCTATCTCTCTCTGTCTCTCTCACTCCCTCTCGTTACTACTAGTATCGCGGAATTTATACGGATTTTTCAAAGTGACTTTCCCAACTTTTCTGTCCTGCTATACACGTGCTTTATGTAAAAATACACCAACCATTTTACAAATAATAATCACAATATGTTTTGTTCTTTACAGAATATGTTTCCCCTTTCCATTGTTTTCAGGTAATCTTTGATCACTGAATCTGATCCCAGAACAAACTCGCAAAGGTCAAGTCAATTCATCCCTGGAACCCCCGGGCTGTTCAGCCTACCAGAGAGACGTGGAGAGAGACACCTAACCCCCCAAAAACTAGAGAACGCAACACGGACGAACAGAAAGTTAATCGAGAATGGGGCAGAGCCAGGCCCGTAGGAGGGGGGTGCCCAGGGGGCCCTGCCCCTCCACAAAATCGGTCGAGGTCTGCAAAGTGCGTAAGGGGACCCTTATGATTTTTAATTATAAAAATTTTTCTGCCTGCGGCGCTGTTTATTACTGTTTTTCAAACAGTTTTTACTTATATGAAGCCTATTTTTTCAAAATTTTTTGCCTGCGGCGCTGGTTTTTCATTGGTGTATAAATTGTCATAAAAAATTTTCGCCTGCGGCGCGTTTCTGCCTTGTTTTCACACGAATTTGAGCGTAGCAAACGCTTTTTGTGCCTGCGGCGCTATTCTTGACGCGACTTTCGGGTGTTTGAAAAGTGGCGACCGGGGGGTCCCAAATTTTGCCCCCGAAATTTCGGTTCCGCTACGGGCCTGGGCAGAGCCAAGGCAGAACGTTCTAGAGGGAAGAGCTGAAAAGGCGTGCAAGGCGAAAAAACCAATTCCAAGGAAATGGCCGGGTCGACCCACATAAAAGACAAGCAAACAACAAAAAAATTTCTCCTGAACATTCTCACCATTTGTTTTTTTCCTATTTATAAAAAACTTTTCCAAAAACTGTATTTTTAGTCTACACAAGTCTACCAAAGGCGATGTCAACCGAATACCAGTACTTGGTGCATTCGACATGGGCGATGTAAGTTTAACAAATAATAATAAAAATAATTCATATTTTTAACCCACCAAATGAGTTAAACAAAGCCCTGGACAAAATTCAAAGAAAATACAAACAAGAAGCCGAGTACGTTTAAATTAAAAAAATATATAATTCATAGGAAAAAAATAAAAGGCTACGGTTTACTTTACCCCCCCCCCCAGCCGGAAGTTTTTGGCTATAACTTTTTTATTTTACATTATAGTAGGCTCAAATTAAAACTCTTAGTATATTTTTCGACGCGCTATCGAATGGCGTTGCAAAAATCCCGACAAAAAGAAGCGAAAATACCGACAACTTGGAGACCCTTCGGCTGTCCGGGGCGGGGGTAAAGTAAACTCTTACCGAACAAAAACGACAATTTTTAGAGACCTGGCCAGAATGAAAAAGATATCCGATGAACATCAGGCTATCATTGAGGAGCTGAATAGCATGAAAGCGGTCAAACGGTAGATCTTAATTCAAGCGACTAATATCAATTTTAGGCAAACAAGGGCCAGCAAAACAAAGAAAACGGAGACCCGAGAAATCGGCACGCAAACGACCCCAGAACAAAGCGGCACACAACAACAGTCAAAATCCATCCACTTTCGGTACATTTTTAAATTACAAATAAAAATCTTAAATATATTTTAATGTACAAACAAGCCTCCAGGTGCCAACCAATCTCCAACCAATGATCGTCCCAAACAGCAATATGTAAGTTGCCAAAAATTTTTAGAAATTTTTTTTAAGAATTTATATGAAAAAATTTTTAAATGATTTTTATTAAAAAACATAATTCATTTAGTCACGCCCAACAAAACCCAGTACTTGCCTATCCAACGGGGACCCCGCAACAGTATCAACACAAGTAAGTTAAGAAAAAAACTTCACTGATTTTGATTAGAATGAACCTCCAAAATCCCACCGCATCCAGTATGGCTGGAACCGACACAGATGAAATCTTCTGTACCGGGTGAGTTTCTAAAAAAAGTTACAAGAAAATTTAAAATAATACTAAACCGCATTTATTCTTCATTCTTCGACCAGAAAGCGCCAAATTTCTGACATAGCTATCTACAGGGTGTCCCAAAAAAAAGCACCCCCCTCTAGCGGCGCGCAGTCGTGCCCGATTTTCACCGTTTAGGTATCTATCCAGAGCTCTTGAAAAAGGCGAGAAAACATGGAGGGTTCATTTTCTTTATTACGTTTTTTTTATTCGCGTATGTTAGCTCCAAAAATCAAGAAAACGGCAGATTTACGCGAGATCTGCATGCTAATTGCGAAATTCCTATCGAAAAGCTGCCTGTTTTTTTACAAAAACGTTGAATATCGGACAAATAAGAACAAATTTTAGAAAATGAAGCTCGCTTGTTTTCTCGCCTTTTTGCGGGCTTTCGAATGGTATAAAAATCATCCTGATCTGAGTTTCCCCCGGACAGCTAGAGGGGGGTGCTTTTTTTTGGGACACCCCAGTATTATGATCCTGCTACGGAAGTCATAACTTCGGTGGTTTATAACAAAGTCAACGTTGAATGATTGATAGTGAATATTATATAATGTTCGTTTAAAGTTAAATTGCTTGTATTCTATCATGTTGTAAAATAAAAAAAATGTTGAATAGATAATAATGAATAAATTGGGTACCTCAGCGGGCAGTTTTGAGACACGTGTATGTATAGCAGGACAGAAAAGTTGGGAAAGTCACTTTGAAAAATCAGGATAAATTCCGCGATACTAGTAGTCTCCTTCCATCATTCTCTCTAGCTCTTTCTACAGCATCCATCATTTGACGCACCTCGTAGTTGTCGAGACCCAGTTGCATTCAGGGGTCGATTTTCTTACTTCCATGTCTCTGTAAATTGTCCATGCGGGTTTTCTTTATACAAATGTCATAATTTTATTAATGCAAAGACCCGACATGGCATACAAATTGAAAGAAAGTGATCGCGCGCGGAAAGTCCATAGGATTCAAGCGGAAAGTGCGGTGGTGGTGGGGTACGGTATGTATCGGTAAGGTATCATCTCATTGAGTGCATTGGCCACGTCGATGAGCAGCAAAAACTCAAAATATCGTCATAAAATTACAAAAAATGTACAAAATACACGCACAACGGGGTGAGGAGGGCTGACTGGAAAATCGCAACATTGAAAAATATCGAATTTGGCGGAATGAGGAATGGGCTTGGGCTTGGGCTTAGGCTTAGGCTTAGGCTTGGGCTTGGGCTTACGCTTATGCTGAGGCTGAGGCATAGGCTTCGGATATTCGTCGTCTATGGCATAGTCGATCGTAAGGGGAAGGAAAATAGCGTGAGAAATGGAGAAAGGCAGGGCGAAGAAACAGCCGGGACTACGGTAATGGGGCAATATTTAGAAAAATGGCCTAAAAATTTCGATTCCGAATTTTCTGGGTTTTTGGCCAAAATATTTTTATTTTTAAAACCCTAAAATCTGCGAAAAACGGCATATTTTTGCTTTAGTCTGATTTTGTAATGTCCAAATGAATTTTCCGGTTTTTTTAAACGCCAAAATCCACCGAATACCGTAAAAAACGGCATTTTTAGCCAGTTTTTCCATATATATCTCACCCCCAGCTACCGTACCCTACTGCTGGGGAGGAGCAGATGGGCCGGAACTGGGAATAATCGGAACCAGGGGGACGACCGGAATCGGTGGATTCTGAATTCCATCTGGATGGGTGGAGACAAGATCGCTCTGCTGCAGCACCCATTGTCGGGTCCGGTCAGTTCCGGTGGCGACGCTCGGTGGCTGGCTTCTCCTCCGCTTCTCCTTCTTCGACGACGTGGGCGGGGCGATCTGAAGCGGAAATTTACATAAATTTTAGTAGGTTTTGTTATGGTTTACGGCAAGGATTAGGTAATCCAATTAAAATGTTTAAAAATCGCAAAATTGTTTGAAAATTGTTAAACAACTTTCAGAAAATGTTGAAATGTTGTAGCCTGTAGCCAAGATTCCAGGCAAGAACTCCAAAATATAAAACCTACAACAATTTTTTCGTAAAATTCGTGTAAAAACTAGCAAAATGTCTTAAGTTTGATAGCGTATAGCCTAGTATTTAAACTTCTCTGTTAATCGCTACTCTTTTTGTAAGTTCACTTCCGCTTCCGCGATTTTTATAAGTGCACGTCCATTTGGATTATTTCCAGAGCCGGTCAGACCGGATTTCTTACTGCAACAAGTTCAAAAATCAAGCTTAAGATTTGTCCGGGGAAGTGATTCTTGCAAAATTGTCATTTTCGAATGCTTTCTGTATTCTACATCGAAATTAAACGGCTTCAGGGCAAACCAGCAAGGATCATTGTGGGATCGATTCGATTTGGCCTACGAATGTTTAAGAGCGAGCTAGCAGATATCCTTGAGGAATTTTCATACCCTACTATGCTGCACTATGCTTTGTATCTTGCAGTTTTCACTTTTGGCCTCGCTTGTTTTGCCCAAAAATTTAGAATCCCAAAATAACCTCCTTGAACCTACCGGCTTATATTTTCCGGTCGGATTGACCGGATCGCCCGTGCCGCCAAAATTGCGAAAATTCGTTGATTGAGGTAGTATGTGTGAGTACCGTAAGCGGAAAAAAGAAAAGCCTCTCAAAAAAAGAGAAATTCACACCGAAAATCCGGGCGGGCCAGAAAGTTATCCGATAAACCGGTAGAAAGAGGCTTATCCCCGGGAGGGCTTACTGTTTCATGTGTGGTGGTGGTGCGAGGGCTATTTTCAGCATCGCTGGAAGTGGGGCAGAAAATCAAGATATTGTCATAGTTTTTGGGGGTGAATACTGTTATTTAAAACCGGGGGACCAGGGTTTTTCATGAAGACAAGAATTACAGACTCTCCGGAAAACGCACATTTTTGGTGAAATTTTTGAAATTTCGCGTAACTCTTGGTTGCTTCCTCTTCGGAAGTCGATGTTTAAGGGTGAACCGATTACGCAATGAGACAGAGAATACATGCGTTGCGATAGTTTGTCAATGTTAAATAGTACGTTTGAAAAGACTTGAAAGTGACATTCGAATTTTTTAGAGATTTCCCAGATGATTTTCTAGCTATTTTTCGGATATTCGAACGGCTAACGCCATGAAAACCTGTCTTTTTTTATAGCGAGTTAGCTTTCACTCACCTTTGGTACGACCCCATTGGATGCCTTTCGGGTTGGCGAGCAACTCTGGGCCCTCGGCTTCCGGCCATCTGGTGGTCGTTTTGGTGGCAGGCTTTTTGGGAGTGGTGGAGCTCCGTCGGGCTGCTAAAACAATAAAAAATCATTATCCAAAAAATTTAAAGTGTTGTCTAGCAGCCAAATCAGCTAAAAATGAAACAGTTACGCTAGGTAAAAGCGCGGATCGCGCATTGATAAGCCGTAAGCCTTTTTGATTGTTCTAGCGTAATTGGTCAAACGCAGAATAAATTCTAGCTTCCCAGTCCCTTTAGTACGACCTGTAGCAACGTTACCTGATGGAAAACACCCTCCTCGAGGCTCGAAAAGTGATTCTGGCTCCTTTTCCTCCGCTCTCTCCTCTCCCTCTTCCCCATTCGATCGAGTCTCCTGGCTTCTCGCTCCAATAAATATCGCTGGTGGTCGATTTGGCGGGCCAACACGTTCGTGAAGCACACCGAGATTGACTGGAAAACTGGCTTATAGACGTCAGATGATATTCAAGGCCATTAAACGGACCAGAAACCGTATTTTGTGGAATTAAGACTATAGAAAACTTCCTAAAAATCATTAATACCAATTTCGAATGTTCAAAATCAAGTTAAAGTCATTTCATTGCGATAAGTATGTTTTAAATTGTTAAAAACTTTGAAATATATTAATTTAAGCTTCGCTTACCACCGGCAATAATATCACAGCCACCACCGCTCCAATATGAACGGCATGCGTTTCGAAAAGTGTTCGTAAGGGCTGTAAACAGCCTCGCGTGTGGATATCGGCTTCGAGGTCTGGCGGTCGCTAAAATTGTCACTTTGCTAAACAAATTTAAATCTAACGTTAATTTTTAAATAACGTATAACAGTTAAAACCAATGTAAAATGTCTTAAAATCGGTCCTTGCCATGCCATAATGGTGCTACCCCAGTAAGTCACTCTCACCGACCTTTGAAAGTGCATTCCTCCAGCACTCGAGCGATCGCATGGCCGGTTGTAGAGGGTTGGTGGAACCAGCTTGCAGCTAAATATTGCGACCCTCCCATTTACGTGAATTTACCGCTTCAGATATAACGGATCGCTTGCAGCACGAGAACGGGACTCCGCACTTCTCGGGGTACGGATTCGTTGGTGTGCAGTTGAATTGAGGGGACATCGCCCAGTCTCGATAACCGGCTGATATGGAAGAGACTCCGCAACACTCCATCTGAACGGTTGGGTTTGAAGGGAGCGTGACAGCCGAACTTTCTCTCTCGCTCTTACTCTCGATGGCTCTGTCTCTCTCGCTCTCACTCTCTGTCTCGTTCTGCCTCTCACACAGGCTCTCTCACTCTATCGCCCTAATTCTCTCTCTGAGACGCCTGTCACATTCGCTCTCTCAATAACTCTCTCTCTCTCTATCTCTCTCTCTCTCTCTATATCTCATTTTCTCCCTGTCTCGCTTTCCATTCTCTCTCTCACTCTCTCTCTTGCTCGATCTCTCTCTCTCTCACCTGTTCCTGAATATAGTCCACAAAATCGGCAAGGTTACGGTTGGAATGGTATTTCTTGACGGATTGCATCATAATCGAATGCGCAGAGAGGCCTTCGGTCCTGGAATCTCGGTTTTAAAGGGAGTGTGACATCTTACAATTCAACCGCCCTTTAACACTTACGAATCGGTAAAGAAGAGGACGAAAACGCCAAAAGTCAGCACCACGATACAGATGTAGCAGAAGAAAACGCATATGGCAAACTAAAAAAAAGAATTACCGTGTTTTTTTGAACGATTACGGTATCTAGAACATTACTTACGGTAGATTAAGTATAATTTAAGGTATACCCACAATTTTGAGCAATGAGATGTTGTCGCGAAGTGCTCCGAGAGCACCGACCAGTGAGATGAACGTGACGAGGAAGCCTGCAAAAATGGGTTTTTGACTTTAAATGGATGGTGACAGTAGGTGTAAGGAATTTTAGCCATACGTAGTTATCAATAAATTAAGCTGATGCCCACCTAAAACAGCCAGAAATAAGGCCGGGTTGAGCACGAAGTCGATCCATTCGATGATGGGCCTGGGGTCCTTGACGTGAAGGTAGATGCCGAGGGCTAGAAGGGAGACGCCCACCCACTAAAATATGGAGATTGGTATCGTAATCTGTAAAAATTGTATTCAAGGGTAACTAAGATCTTAACGAGCGCTAACTACGTATCGTAATCGATTAAATCTCTTATATTTTGCTCTTAAGCTTTCGGTCGAATTATTGCTATTAGGTGACGCTCAGAGAGACTATTTTACTGTATTACGTTAGCATAATCAATTAAGAAGTAGAAAACTCACGACGAAGAGGAAGTTAAACATGAAGGAAATCCATTTGAGGCACGCGGAGATCTCCTGCCGAGGTTTCCGGTTTTTCGCCGGCGCCGCCGCTGCGGCCACGGTCCCTCTGCAAATGACACTTTTGGCACGGGGACTAGCGCACTGTTTTTATGGTCTAAGGTTCGAAGATCGTTCATAAGGCCTGTTTTAGCAGCTTTATAGGTTCTTCTGCCGTTTAAAACATTTATTTCGTGTCGTAGCCTATTTGCTCTCTGTTTGGACAGCTGGCTGCTTGTTATCATTCTCCACGTTAGTCATCAATCATTTTGACGATTTTCACCATTTCTCATTTTTTATCGGCCCATTCATTTCCAAAGAAAAACACCCGCTGGGCAAACTGAGACGTCTGATAAGAATTTATGGGAAAAACGCTGTTTTCGGTTGCTTTCCGCTTCCACTACTAGGAAACCAGCCAAATTCGGCTGAAAAATACAATTCTGGGACTTTTCTATGGTACAAAAGGGGCTAGGAAGTCAGGTCTCTGCTTTAAGCTAACAAGTTTTAAAAGAATTGAACGCTGAACGCTGTTTCAATTATTATTAAACAATCAAAGGGGCTAGGAAGAAATCAGGTCAGTTTGTGCGACCCGCAAAAAAGCGCTAGAAATAGACCCAGCCTGATCATAGACTGATGCGCCGATTTTGCTACCGCATCTAAGCCCTCAATATGCAAAGATCAGGCAAACAAACTATTTTACTTGAAAAAATTACTACACGGTTAGAAAAACGATGAAAACTCGTAAAAATCTTTTTTTTCACATTTGCCGTCCTCTGCTCTGCTTTTCTTCAATTCTACGTTATCTTAGATCATTACGTAAAATCTGGCGTCCTTTCTAGCTCATTAAAAAAGACGTGAAGCCGATGTTTATGTCCGCTTATTATTCCAACCAAAAAAAAAACGTGAAAAATTCGTTAAAACCATTTTTACTACTTCCATCCTATTCTGCGCCCCTTTTCGCTACCGTACCTCTGCTCATTATGCAACAACCGTGGATGTGGATGGGGCATCAGATGGTGCCGTTCTGCTGCTGCACCCGCGGCCTGAGGAGAGGAGGAGGAGCGCACACCACCCGCTGTGAAGCCGCCAGCGCTGCAAAGGAAAGACAATGATGAATTAAATCGCGGAAAAGACCTCAAGATTAAAGGCACCGAGAAGCAAAAAGACCGGAAACGAGTGCTGGCCAAGAAAAAGGCAGAGGAATTCCAAGGGCATGGCTTGGTGCGGACTCACACGCGATTTATTTTGCGATTTGGGCGGTTTCGGCACACCTGGACTTTTAAAGGGTGCCTCAACCTTGATGGATACCTCAAAACCATTCGATTTTGGGAAAACTACGACACTAAAAAAAATGTACTACTAAAAAATCTTGAATTCTTATAGGCTAAAAATAACTGGGGAAAGCCATAAAAATAACCTAAAGGGCCATATTTTTGAAGGGAAAACACGTGCTAAAATCAACAAGAAAATGCGACCGGAAGCCGGAACTGAAAACTGATAAAAGTCGATGCCTTCGAAGCCAAAAAAAGTCTGAAACGGATGTATAAAAACGTCGTTTAAGCTCCAAAACTAGTATTTGGGTGCTATGTTTGCAACAAAGAATCGCAAAACCAACAAAAACGACCGGGAGTCATGGCTGGAGACACAAGCTTGAAAATCGAAGCCATGAAAGCTGCATACGTCTTCTAACGATAGCGCGGTTGAAGTGATCAAAACGGTCCTAGGTTGCTATATCCTACTATATATAAAAAAATAGTGTCTGTGTGTGTGTGTATATTTGCATGCAACTTCCGTAAGTATGTACCGCACCTATAGCCTCAGGGGAAGGTTTTGAAGGTACGTATGATACGGGATTAGGTGCGTAATGGTCCCGAGATGGGTGCACACATATAAAATTTAAGGAAATCGGCTATTTTCGCTATTAAAATTAAGTTTCTGTAAAGATATCCAAAAACCTCTTCGTTAGGGGGCAATTAGCATTGACCGGAAGTGGCCGTAGCCTATAAAAAAGGAGGGAGGGTGCGCTTTTCATTTTTTGGTGAGCGGCATTCGGCAGGCCCTATGTAAAGTGAAATTTTCCGAAGTCCTAGACGGGGCCAGGGTTGAAAAGCCGCGAAGCGGTTTTTCAACCCTGGTTTTGCAAGAAAAACGAAAAAACGAAACAAAACAAAAACGGAAAAACGGTAAACAAAGTAAATTCCGTCAAAATGCCCCCGGGTTCCCCGTTAACACGCGTTGAGAAATTATAAGTGAAGAAGTGCGTTAGAAAACTTCATAGTTTTATTTGGTTTTAAAGGTGTGAAATCCTGGAAATCTATAACTTCATAAACTGGTGGAAATCGATTATGCCTGCATAATTATAGAACCGCCAGAGGTCAAATGACCGACGTAACAAAACCCTGAAAAGCTAGAGGAAAAATTCCTAAAATTTTCTGTTATACAAATTTGATAAAGCTCGCATAAAATCTGAAAACCGCATAAAAAAACTTTCGGCCCGCTAATTGACGTGTGTCACCACCAGCAGCAGAAAAGCTTTCGGAAAGAAAAGAAAGGAAAGGCTGAAAAAAAAGCGGAAAAAGCCGAAAGGGGGCCCCAGTCCATCGGCTAGCGCATAATATTTGCGGTGAGGTGTCGTACGAGACGATTTGCGCCACCACCGCGGCCGCGGAAGGAGGAGGGAGCGAGATTAACGGGATGATGAAGAGAGAGAGAGAGAGAGAGAGAGAGAGCGGGAGGGAGAGAGAGGAGAGAAAGGGAGAGAGCGAGAGAGAGAGAGAGAGCGGGCAATAAGAAGCCCAGAGGGGCCGCTTCCGGAGCGAAGCCCAATTTCCCTCCCTACCCCAGCCGGGCCTTCACATGCCTTACGCCCCACATACCAAAAGCCGCAGGGTATGGGCAGGGAGCCCACTATGCCACTGGCGTCTAG